TTGCTCCCGAAACTCCTTCATCTCGCCCCGATCAGATGGCACACTCACACGTCCGCATGTCATGTCCTGAACATGCGTGGCCACGCTGATGGGTGCGGGGCTATATTGGAGGCTGGCATCCATTCTGCTGCCACATAGAGCCTCGCGTCCATCAGCGTGCACACACTTGTTCAGGAACTAACATGTGGACGTTTGACTGTGCCATCTGATCGGGGCGAGTGGTCGTCAATGGAACGACATCCGCAAACGCACCCCGAGGTAAGTTCGCGAAAGAAACAGGCCAACGCATAAGACGAACGAAATAGAGGCGCTGAAGACAAACTAAAGACGGGGATGAAGATGGCAGTTGAACACGATGGCACACACGTCCACGTGTCAAGTCCTGATCATGCGTGGCGACGCTGATGGGTGCGGGGCTCTATTCGACAACATTCTGTTGCCGCATAGAGCCCCGCATCCATCAGCGAGCCCACCCTTGTTCAGGACCTGCCACGTGGACGTGTGAGTGTGCCATCTGATCGGGGCGAGTGGTCGCCAATGGAACTAGATTCACGACATAGAGGCACTAATAGAAAACTGACGACGATGGTGGTGGAACACGACGCTGTTGGTTCTGTCTCATTCGTTTGTCTGCGCTTGTCAATTACGTTCACTAACTTTGTGCGAACGACACAGACAAGCGCAGTGAAACGAACAAGATAAAAGACAGAAAGAGAGATAAAGAGATAGCGAGAGAGAGAGAGCGCGACAGAGAGGCGATCTCCGCCTTCATCACATGGCCCAATCAAACGTCACGATCAAATGGCCCCGAACGTCATCGACTCCCTATCACACATCGGACTCACGGACAGAAATCCCTGTTGGATCACACGACACTGCTCGTTCGCGGCGAATGAACCCAATGTAATCGCCACCGCACGAATCCCGACTACAAATAGCGTACATGTGTGGGCATTATGACGGTCTACGCAAACCCAGCATGGCAGGACTTTTCAGGTCGGTGGAGATGGCGAGAGAAAGAGAGACAGAGAGAGAGAGCGAGAGAGGGAGAGAGAGAGAGAGAGAGAGA